TCCTCCTAGAACAGTCTCTGCAGCTGTGTGTGCCGTCTGTGTCCTCACAGCTCACGGACCTCGCCCTGGCTGCAGAGTGACCGCACCCGGCCGCTGGGCACTGTGCGGCCGGGTGCCTGGCTCATGGCAGGCCCAAGTGCACGGGTGCCCAAAGTCCGAGAGGAGAATGGAAGACAAAGGACTTCGGCTTGCCAAGCCTCACACGGGGCTTTCTCACCTCCTCCCCTGCCTCGTCTCTCCCGGAGCACACATATCGGAAGGGAAATAAAAAACGGAGCATGCACTGAGTCTCGCCTGGGGCTTGCGGCACAACCCACTGCTGGGGGGTAAGGCAGCCAGGGCCCCAAGGGCACGTCTGCCTACGCAGGGAAACAAAGACCACTGGCACACTCCCCAATTGAGGACCCCCACCGCGGCTGAACCCCCTCCTCACAGACACCTTCTGAAGCAGGCGGCAGGGAGGGGGCATTAGGAGGAGCAGAAAAGACTCCCTAACAGAAAGAAGCCTCTCTGGGGGTTGGCACATGGCGTGGTGGTGAAGGGTGCTGGCCTCCCACATGGCTGACTGCAGTTTGAGTCCCCAACCCTGCGGTTTGCTTTCTCATTTTCCCTCTCTCGCTCGCTCTGTCCCTCTCTAAAAAAAATATTTAAAAAATAATTCTTAAAAAAAAAAAAAAGGAAGCGGACTCTCTGGGGAGGCCATGGGCTACGTCCACATTACCCAGGAAGGCAGATGGGGGACAGGGACCAAACGACCCCGAGGGGTGCGGCCTGGAGGCACTCACTCAGGCTACCCAGCTGCCGGATGACATTGGCCAGGGTGATGTTGGTCACACATTCCAGCTCATTGCGGACGCCCGGCAGCGTCTGTCGGCACAGGTGCCTTGGCTCGATGTTCCTCGTCACCAGCGGCATGGCGGACCTGCCTCAGGCGGGGCTCGGAGGATGAACAGCCTGAGGAAGAAGGAGTAAAGTTACTTGCCCACAGCTCCCAGGCACACCAAGGCCATGCTCAGTCTCTACCAAGGCCTGAGCTCCAACAGCTTTAAATAGCTCACCCTCCACCACTGGCCCCACCGCTGCCGAGGTCTGCCAGACAGACTTGCTGCATGTCTGGAAACCCTGCCTGGCAGCTGCTGGCCCAGGGACACAGCTCAAAACCCTAAGGCGACAACCCCAGAGGCAAAGGAGCACGGTGGGGAGCAGCCACTCCAGAGGCCTCACCGCGGGGTGCCCACATGCAGGGCAGAGCCCTGGCCACCCATCACAAGGCTGAAGAGCTCCGGCACTGGATAATCGCCACCCTGGAATGGCTGCCATCTCAAGGCCCTGACATGCATCTCCCCCGGATGGCGGCTGCTCACGGAGAGCCAGACGGAGGGACACACCAGGTTAGCGGGCACGGTAACAGCGGGGGTGGAGGCAGATTTACGCACGTACTATGACAACCCGATGCCCTGCCCACCAGCAGCCCTCTCTGTCCCAGGGGGTCCACGCCGGGCCCAAAGGTTCTGGAGGCAGCCCAGGAACTCCCAGGGGCCGTCTGCACCCGGCGGGCCGAGCCCTTTCCCTAGGGAAGCCCCCACATCCAACCACACTGAGCTATAGTTTCAGGTCTAGATTGCCAGACCCGCCTCTGTTAGATGGAGGTTTCGACACAGCCAAATGGGAGACCACACCAAGGCACCACAGTGGTCCTGGCCCCACACCCTGAAGGGAGCTACAGAGAGCAGAAGTGGCCTGAGGGTTGGCGCTAAGAAGGGCAAGTCTGTTTCCTCCTCCTCCTAGAATTTCGCTGTAGGGACCAGCAGATGGTATAGTGGCTATTTTGCTGGACTCGCACGTAGTCGATCACAGTTCAAGTCCCAGACCTGGTGACTCAAAACTCACACCAGGCTTGGGACCAGCAGTTAGCATAATGGCTAAGTCGCTGGACTCCCACGTAGTCGACTGCGGTTCGCGTCTCGGACCCAGTGGCTTAAACTCACGCCAGGCGTGTGTGCATGCGTGCCCAAGATCCCGAGAGGAGAGTGGAGGAGAAGGGATTGCGGCGTGACCATCCCCCCTGGGGGGTGATTTCTTGCTTTCTGTCTCTCTCTCTCTGTCTGGAGAGCGCATGTGCCCTATAGCAAAAACCTCAAAACAAAACAAAACAAAAACCCCCAAAAAACCCCTCACCCCAGGCTTGTGGGCATGTGTGCCCAAGACCCCCAGAGGAGACTGGAGAAGGGATTTTATTGTGCGTGGCCGTCCCCCAGGGGGTGATTTCTCTCTTTCTGTCTCTAGAGCACACGTGCCCTATAGCAAAAACACCCTACGGAAAAAATCTAAAAAGAGCAAAAAAAAAAAAAAAAGGTCTTGCTGTAGAATGCACACGCTCACCAGAGAGAGGGAGAGACAGCACTCCCAGAGGGGCCGGCCACGTCCAGTCCCTTCTCCATATTCTTGAGATTGGGGAGCCTACACAGCCATGCCCAGTATGTATCTCAAGCCACCAGGTCCAGGACTCGAACTGCTGGGTGGGCCCCATGGAATCCAGCCACCTTAGCCTCTGTGCCATCTGCTGGCCTGAAAAACGAAAAGGCAAAGCATAAAGATAATGTATACAGATTCCCAATATTATAAATTCCTCTTAAAAAATAAAAGGTAAAACAGAAGTTTACTTACACCCAACCCTAACACACTGTTCGTCACCAAACAAGCTGACCGTGAGCGTAACGCAAGGCCTGAACCGGCAAACACATCTGGCCAGGCAGGGCAGCCACACAGTCAGACAGGAGAGGAAGGTGCCCTTGGGCTTGGGGGAGTGGGGGAGCAGGGAAGCGGGGGAGCGGGGCCCTCTGGCAGACTGCTCCATCACGGGCATTCTGATCAGCCAAAGTAAAAATAAAACAGGAACCCACAGCCGGGGAGCCGGACTTCCTGACACCGCCAGCAGCAGGCCAGGGCCCCAGAGCCAGCTGCTGGCTCCAAACTTTGAACCTCCCTTCCAGGGCTACAGCAGCGGCTGTGCTGTGCCCATTTTTGGGGTGCAGAGTGTTTCCTAGGTCCTTGTCCACATCAAAGGAAGTGCCCACGGTCCTCTATGAAGCCCCCAGCCCGACAGGTTCCCTCATCCAAACTCTGGATTTGACAGTTTGACTCCTTCCCTCCCTCTTCTACTTCCTGTCAGGGAGCAGGTGCTCAGATGCGACCCTTAGGGCAAATGGTGGGAAGAGCGTTTTTTTTCAGTGTTGTAAGGCTGGAGGTCACAAATACAAGAACCTCACAGGACTCCGAGGTGCCTCCACCTGGATGCCCTCAGCTTCTCCAATTGCTTTTTTTTTTTTTTGAGAGGTTTTTGCTACGGGGCACGTGCACTCGCCAGACACAGATAGAGAAAGAGAGACAGAAAGCAAGAAATAACCCCCCAGGGGGGATGGCCATGCCGCCATCCCTTCCCCTCCATCCTCCTCGGGATCTTGGGCACGCACTCGAACCGCAGTCAACTACATGGGGGAGTCCAGCAACATAGCCATTACGCTAACTGCTGGTCCCAGCTTCTACAGAAATTTGGGGTACAGCCAGGAAGGACAGAACAACCACCGTGGCTCCTCTAGGAGTCACCATCTGAGCTGTCAGTCCAGCTTCTCGGGAGCGCACCCTGGAGCTGTGCTGGGCATGGAAGCTGACACCGGCTAAGTTAGCCCTATGTCAACTGCTTGGGTTTTCTTGGAACATCAAGATGGCTCCCTCTGGCCAAAGGAGGCCGTCCCCACAGCAGCAGGTGAGAACCCACGTGCCAGCATCCATCCATCCAGACAACTAAAAAGGACTATCTGCAGATTTTTAAAAAACCATGTCAGGGGCCAGCAGGTGATATGGTGGTTAAGGCACTGGACTCCTACATAGGTAACTGCAGTTGGAGTCTCAGACCTTGTAGCTTGCTTTCTCTCTCTTGGGTCAAACTGAAGAATAATAATAAATAAACTTAAGCATGTAATTTATTTTTAAAATCCACTTAATGTGTCACGAAGCCACCGAGAGGCCAGACTCGTCAGGAACGCCGGGCTGGCTGTCGCTGACGTGAGGAGCTGCTGCTGAGGTGAACTCACCCGTAACTGACCGGGAGGCCCCACCCAGAGGGGACAGACCTCTGCGAGGACGACATTCCAGGCTCCGGCACTGGGACACAGCTGGGTGAGGGTCCTGACTCTGACCCCTGACTGCGTGAGCTTGGCCAATTCTGGAGACATTGAATAGTAAAGCACATATAAAATGCCCACTTAGGGACCCGCAGATGGCCAATGGCCATGTCGCAGGATTCCCATGTAGTCGACCGTGGTTGAATCCTGAACCCAGTGGCTTAAAACTCACACTGGGCACATGTGCGTGCATGCCCAAAGTCCCGAGAAAAGGATGGAGGAGAAGGGACTGTGGCATGGTCACTCCCCCTGGGGGTGATGTCTCACTTTCTGTCCCCCCCCCAAAAAAAACTCCACTCACTTAAAGAGCTTTAACAACGGCATCGTTACGGGGCCAGCAGGTGGTTAATTAAGGTGCTGGACTCCCACATGGCCAACTGTGGTTTGAGTCTCGACCTAGTGGCTTGAAAATCACACCGGGTGCATGTGTGCGCACCCCCCCCCCCTAATCCCAGAAGAATAAGAAAGGATTGCAGGGTGGCCATCTACCCAGGAATGATTTCTCACTTTTCCTTTCACTGTCTCTGTCTCTTTCTGGTGAGCATGCATATCCTATGGCAAAAAAAGGGGAGGGGGCGGCAGGTGGCGTGGTGGTTAAGGGGTCTGGACTCTCACATGGCCGAGGGTTTGAGTCCTGGACCTAGCGGCTTGCTAGCTCACTTTCTCTATCTCTCTCTCTGGTAAAATAGGAACGAAAGAAGGGAGGGAGGGAGAAATGTAAATAAAATAGTTCTTTAAAAAATATATATTTGTAGCTCCATGGACTCTAGGCAAATGCTTCCACAGAATCAATCGTCATGAGACGTTTTGCCATAAGGCTTGTGTGCTCACCAGAAAGACAGAGGGAGACAGAGAGACAGAGAGCAAGAAATCCCCCCCTGGGGGCATGGCCCCAGCCGCAATCCCTTCTCCTCCATTCTCTCGGGATCTTGAGCACACACGCACACATGCCCGGCATGAGTTTAAGCCACCAGATCCGGGACGCGAACCGCGGTCGACTATGTGGGAGTCCAGCGACATAGCCATTACGCCAACTGCTGGTCCCAAGTGTTTAAATACTTTCTATGGGACCAGCAGTTATGTTGCTGGAGGGACTACAGGTGAAGACACCCCTCGGGAACCAGCAGTTAGCGTAATGGCTATGTCGCTGGACTCCCACGTAGTCGACCGCGGTTCGCGTCTCGGACCCGGTGGCTTAAATCTCACGCCGGGCGCGTGTGCGTGCGTGCCCAAGATCCCGAGAGGAGAATGGAGGAGAAGGGATTGCGGCGTGACCATCCCCCCTGGGGGGTGATTTCTCGCTTTCTGTCTCTATGTCTCTCTCTGTCTGTCTGGCGAGCGCACGCGCCCTATAGCGAAAACCTCTCCAAAAAAAAAAAAAAAAAGACACCCCTCGGTCTTCACTACGGGCTCTTCACTGGAAGCGCGAGCAGAGAAAGCAACTTCCATGATGGCCCGACCCCTCAGGCTGCAGCTGCAGCACCAAGATGCTGGGGAGGCACCAGCGGTGCAGAGGGCAGGCGCCTGGCGTGTCTGGGGTCACACACTTATTGTTTACTTTTGCCCAAGGGCATGTGCGCTGGCCACAGAGGAAAGAGAGACAGAGAGAAAGTGAGAGCGCAGCCCCTTCCCTGCTCTCATCGCAGACTTTGGGCATGTATACACATGCGCCCAGTGCTTTTCAAACTGCCGGGTCTGGGACTCAAACCATGCAGTCAGCCATGTTGGACCCAGTTGCCCTGGCCACTCTCTCAGACCTGCGAGAAGGTCCCTCTACCGTAACTAGCCCTTCATGGGAACTTATGACGCACCCAGCGATGGTGAACCGCCGAGTTAAGGGCGGGCAGGGTCAGACCTGCACTTTGGACAAACGATTCTAACATAAGCAGGTACTGGGCTCTGGCAGAAGGTGTGCACCGGGAAACAGCGCAAAAATGGAGGCCCAGGGCAAGAGCCCCAAGTTGGTGAGAAGGTAGTGGAGCTGTGTGGCCAATGCAGTTTGAACCCCGGTCCTGGAGACTGAAGGACACAGCAGGTGCGTGTGCTCTGTACGGGGGGGAGGGGGCTGTGGACACAGCAGGTGCATGTGCTCCGTACGGGAGGGGGGAGGGGCTGTGGACACAGCAGGTGCGTGT